TACAAACAGAAGAATGCCAAACTGTTTTCCAAAGTATTTGTACCATTTAACACGGCCACCTTAGCCTAATATTGCAACAATCTGATGGGCATATAGTTGTGTTTGTTGCAAATATCTTTTCTCACTCTGAGGTTTATCTTAATGGAGTGCATTTGTGAACCAAAGTATGTAACTTTAGTTTAATTGAATCTATCATTCTCTTCCTTTATTGTGAGAACTGTTCATGACTTGTTTAATAAGTTATTTCCTATTCATGAGTCATGGAGATAGTTTCATGTATTATCTTCTGAAAATTTGTAGATGTTTTCCTTTTGCATTTGTCTTTTTTCCCCAGAAGGGATTTGATGTTTGTGTGTGGAGTGAAGCAGAGTCCAATTTCATTTTTTTTCCGTATGGGTATCCAGCTACCCCAACACTATTTGTTAAAAAGATCTTTTTCTACTCTCTGTAGTGCTTCCTTTGTTATAAATGACGTGGCCTTAGGTGTGTGTGTGTCTGTTTCTAGGGATATACAGTTTTCAAAATTATTTTGATGGAATGTGCAAGCAGAAATTATGAAGACCATTCAACTACACAAACTGTCTGGCCTTTATCCAGTTTAACTTCTCTGAGTTCCCTGTTTGGTTGAGAGAATATAACGGGATGATATAATTAGAATATATCATCTAATAAAGCAGCTAGAAGCTCAGACTCAATCCTCAGGGAGCAGCAGTAATAGTTTCTATCTGTGTTTTTTTTTTTTAATTTTTTTCTGTTGTTATGTTTCAAGTGCTATGGAATACATGGAAACACCACCTGCTTTGGGGGCAGGAACTGCCAGAGGATGTGACACTCGGGTGGGTTGTGAATGACAGTGGAATCTGTCATCTCTCTTTATGACTGTGATCCGTTGGCTGTCCATGGCGCATTTCCCATGTGTTTCGTTTATATTATATTTTATCTGGGCTAGAAGGGCCCAGGGGGAAAGGACTGTGCTGTGCCCCACGTGTTGGTTTGTGGTGACCCCTAGTAGCAGTTGTATAAGACCTAGAATTGTGCTGACTTCTTGTTTGTTACACACACAGACATGTCATGGAGGACAGGGCTGGGTCTTTGTAAAATTCCTGCCACTGTAGTGCTGCAGGATTCCTGAGTTTCACCCACACACTGCTCCCTCCCCAAACCCCAGCCACCCGCCAACACACACACAACAAACTTACCACTCGCCCCAGCACCACCACCCATGGGAGTGGTGAGATCCATAACCACTCCTTCTGTACAGTCTTGCCTCTGGGGGAAAGAAAGCATAGGGTCTTGTATACACAGTAGGCACTTGATAAGCATCTGGTGAATAACAAATGAGTAACCACATTAAGATTAGGATGTGGGAGCACGTTTCCATCTGCTGCAGTGTAGCAGGAAATGGGTAGATTGTCTGGCTATTCTCAGTCGTGTGTGTACATCGGAATCACAGGGGTGGGGGTGGAGTGCAGAGTCACTTCCCTCCCTCCCTCACTGAACTAGAACAGAGAAGAGATGTGCAGAAAGGAGCTATTTTAAATTAACTGTCTGGGAGATTCTGATTTTGATGCCCAGGCAGGTATGGGAATGATAGAATTGCTAAACATCTGAATCCATTCTTCCTCAAAAGTACTTTGGCAGTATTTATCAAAACTTAAAATTCACATGCCTTTGCACCTACACCTCTTTCTAGACTTTGTCCTATACCCCAAAGTGAAGGCACAAAAATACTGGGGGCAGCATTTTTGGAATGGAGAAATATTTGAAACTAGGAAAATGTCTGTTCATTCATTAAACTTACTTTATTGAGCATCACAGGCATATCCCAGAGATATTACAGGTTTGGTTCCAGACCACAGTAGTACAGCCAGTATCACAATAAAGTGATTTGTTATGTTTTGCTGTTGAGGGGAGTCTTGCTTTCATTTTGTAAAAAAAATGCAGCAACATCTGTGAAGCGCAATAAAATGAGGTATGCCTGTTTTCTCATCACCCAGAGACAGCAGTGAGTAACAACAAAATAATAAAATCTCCACTCTTATAGAGATTTATGTTTTAGTCCATCAAAGAAGGGCTGAATAAATAATTTATGATGGAATGTAATAAATTACTCCATTGGAATATTATTCTGCCACATCAAAAGAAACACAATTTGTCAATATATACTGCTTCGAAAAGATGTTAAAGACCTTTCTTTAAAAATGTAGGAAGCTTTTGGATGTATTACCTATTCAAAAGCAATGAAACAAAGAAAAAAGAGAAAAGCAAGTTACAAAACCATGTATAACATTGTCCTATTTGTGTATAAAATATATATACATGTGCATAGATATATGTGTATATACTAAAATTGTTTTTAAATTTTCTAAATTTTTTTTATTTTCTAAAAAATTAAAGTGTGCTAAAGGCTTATTTAGCTACTGTTTTTCAGGAGAAAAATAAAATTACTGGGCATTTGGGAATGCTTAGAAAAATGTATGGTCTACTGTGCATGTTAAAAACTAAAGATAAGCAGTCAAAAAATGAAAACGTTGTCAGTTTCTTAGCCGTAGAGGGGCAAAATGCAGAAAGCTTTTCTAGTTCAATGGAATGCAGGAAAGGAGGAAGCAGGAAAACAAAAATGAATGAAAGTGAACAGAAATCAAAACTAAAAGAGTAAAAATCATTTTAAATTGACAAATAATCCAAAAAAATTGAAAATGGAATAAACTCACTATAAAAATAAGAGATTATACAATTAAACTGAATTTTTAAAATCTAGGCATAGTCTTTTTACAGAAAATACACATAAAATAAAGCTAACCTGATAGGCTAAAACAAAAGGGGTGGAAAAATTTGTCCCATACAAATAATAAAAATAATTATCCTAAGAATAGCAGTATCAATTCCATACAAAATACAATTGATGGCAGAAAGATTTTATGGCTAAGAAAGGAAAGAACTTATAATAAAAGGAATATATAGTACTTATGAACTTGTATGTACCTAAAAATAGTCTTGAAATTGAGAAGGCAAAAATTAACTTATATAAGGAAAAAGGACAGACCTATAATCAGATAAAGGGATTTTAACACATCTCTACAAGACACAGATTGGTTACATAATTTTAAAAAATTAAGGATATGGAAATAAAAAATAAAAGGAACAAATTTGATGTAATGGATTATTTTAAAAAATAACAACATAATAAGTAATAGAATCTACAAATTTAAAAAAATACATAACAGACCACATTCATTCTCAAGCTACAGTGAAATTTGTTGAGAACCTAAACAATTTTTAAAAAGCAAAATAAATAAATAAATAATGAAAGTACTAATAAAATAATAAATAATATGCAAATGCATTTAAAAACCACAATGTTCTCCTCAATAATTTGTGAATTAATTTAAAAGGAAAGCACAGTGAAAGAATCATTTAAGACCAGAATGATGATAATATATTTATATTACATATCAAAATTTGTGGGATGAAGCAAAAAGTCGTTAAGAACACATTTTGTAGGTTTAAATGTAGTTTTGAGGAAGAAACTTTGAAAACAAATGAGAAAATCACTCAACTCAAGTTAGCAAGATAACAGAGTGAATATTAAAAGGTAGAAGGAAGGAATTTTAAATAGAATGAGAAAGTAATGAAGTATAAAAGAAAGGAAGAAAGGGAAGAAAATTAACAGTAGTTACCACTGGAAAGTATACTTGAAGAAGGGAAACTTTTGCTTTTCTCTTTATTCCATGTCATGCTGTTTCAACTTTTTAACTTAAGGAAATACTACGTTTATAACTTTTTTTTGACTGTTAAATTCCACAGAACCTTGAGAGCCTGTAATATTTTAAACTTCCAGCAGGGGGCAGCAGTGATTCTCCAATATTTCTGACGTCAGCCCCAAACTGAGGCTTAGTGTTTACAGATTCTTAATTTCAGGCCCAGATACTGTACTTGGATCACCAGACTGTAAAGGAAACAAAAAGCAGTACCTCGCTTTAAGGTGCTGTAGGTATTATAATGACAAAATATTTTCTCTGCAGATCTTTATTAACCTCTGTACGAGTCTAAACTGCGTTTTCATTTTCTGGAGCTCAGAGTTTTCTTATTCATTAAAATCATACCGTTTGATGAGACAATCTTAAAAGGTCTCTCTTCAGCTCTAAAATTCTATGGCTTGAAGAATCTAAGTCAGCGTCAGGAAGAAACAAGCCCCAGTGCCCTCTGATATTAATTGGCTTATCAAAGAATCTGCTTTACAGCCCTTAGCTGATCAGGATGAATTATTATTACCAGTTTATCTTCAGTGTAGATCAAAGAATCCTCTTTTGGAGGGGAGAGGAGGATGTTGGTATTTATTCAATTTGCTGAGGGAGAAAAAAAGAGAACTCTCCCACTCTGTAAATGTTTAGCGTGTGTGTAAAGGTCGTAGGTCTGGTGTTTAGAAATTACACGCAGGCTTACGAAAGAATCTGTACTGGGTTGGCCAAATTAAACAGCAGGCAGTTGTAGAGAAATAAACACAAGTTAACATTTAACCACAAGTCCCTGTATTTGCTGCTTGGTCTTTCTCAACAGGAGGGGCCTGAGAGGGTCAGAGGGCTGCTGGCTATTCTAGTGAGACCCTGGGCTCCTCTGAGAGCTCGCCCACCCACCACATTTCTCAAGTATATATTTAAGCAATTTAATACTTAAATATTTAAGCATCTGAATCATAAACTTTTCCAGGTATTACTTCATGCCCCAACAGCAGTTCTTTTTTTGCAGATAACCCTTAACAAATTGCAAAATGCATTATAATTTTCTTTCAACACTGGCACAGGGCTACACAGCTCATACGTGGCTGAAACAGGATCCAAACCTGTCACTGGCTCCAAGACCCTCACACTTGACCTCGGCACTACATGAGATGAGAGGACTCACTTCATCTGCGAGTTACCTGGAAGCAGTTGAATGCTGCAGCGCAGCCGCGATAAGCGTATGAAGGGAATGATTGTTGCGTCACAAAGCGCCATCCAGCTCACATGTATTAAGTAAGCACACACTCCATGAGTCTTTGGCAGGTGCTGGGGGTAAGGGTGTCAGAAGATGAAGTAGACGTGATCATCACACTTTAAGAAACTCCTGGTGAGCTCTCTCTCTCGAGTACACCCACGCCTTACCTCCCTCCCGCCACTGCTTTCCTCAGCCGTGTATCTTGGCTTCCTTTCTCCCAAGCTCTAAAGGTTCCCGGGAGACTTGCTACCAGGGGAGCAGCAGGCAGGGGCAGCTAGTCCTGGGCTCACCCCCCTGGACCTGTCTCCAAGGGCCCTCCTTTTGCCTCTGTAACTTGTTTCCTGAGTCCACACACCCCAGCTGGCTCACTTCTTCTGCCTCTGGGACTTTTCTTCTAAAGGGCCAAGGCAGCCCCACCTCAGCTCAGTCCTGTTGCTATGATCTTGCCTCTTCTATCTTAAGCCCGTACTTTGTTTCACTGTCTGTAGCTTTAATAAACATACTCTCAAAATAAAAATTTTAAAAAGTCTAGGTTTTGGAGGCGTGAGGGGCCGCCAAATAAGCAAACATCAAACATGTGAAAAACAGTAGGGAAGCACAGATAAGGAAGGAGACATAAAAGCAGCATGGCAGGATGGTTAAATCCCTGGGCTGTGGAGTCCAGTTCTTAGCTGTGGGACCTCTAAGCCTCAGTTTCCTTATCTGTAAAATGGGGAGAGCCTTTAGTAAAGGTAATTGCTGTGAGGGTTAAATGATGTAATGCATTATTAAGTTGCTTAGCATTGAACCTGGCAGATGGGAAGGCTTGTTAAACATATTGGTTGATGATATTGTTTGATAAAGCGTAAGCATAATCAGAATCATGTCTACAACCACATTTCAGGGATGTTGATGCCCCTTTCTCGGGTTATTCTGAGTTTCCCTGAGGTTTGTTCTTCCTGAGATGCTTATCTTTTGATCCTATAAGAATGTTTCTGGGAGCCAATGATGAGGCACAGGGGTCCCAGCCCCCAGACCGAGCCCTCGGGCTGCAGCATGGGGAAGGGGAGCAGAAACAGGAGCAGCCCTCACGACAGGAAAATCAGGAGAGTCAGCCTGGAGTGTTGTTTAGAAAATTTCTAGAACCTACTCCCCGCAATTGCCAATCTGCTCCGAACTGAATTTCAGTTCATACTTTACTAATATTTTAATGTAACTATAATCATGGGAAGGTATTTACATGATTTTATCCTGCAGTCAATTCCCTTCCCAACCAGCTTATTTTTATTTTCTCTCAAACACTGACTCACCTCTTTTATCCTCAGTCAAGGACATGGCTTTGATATGCTACAGTGGCTGCCCCTCCAACTTCTGAACCTTGGCATGAGGGCAGGTGAGACCTTTCAACTGAAACTCTCTGCCTTCTGAGAGCTGTACCTACACCAACACTTCTCTAAAAACCACCTGGAAACTCACCTCCTTCTGGAAGCTTTTCCTGCTGAGTTCTTTACTTTTACACTCCGTTCCCTGCCACGGAACGGCAACCAGGGTTGTCAGAACCTAACCAGGGAGGTGCTCTTACGTCTTTGTTCTGTGTGTGTAAGTTCTGGTTCTTCCCGTGGGGGCAGCATGGATTTCTGGAGAGGGCAGGGACCCTGGGACCTGGCATGAATTCATGCAGCAGCACCACCCCTGAGTTCTCAAATTCATTTGGCTGTCCTTTGTCACCTTGGGACTGCTGCTTTATTCTCGGGGGTTGTCATCTTCCATCCGGGCCTCTCCAGGCCGCTGTCCCTTCCCTGCTTCACTTGACTTCTCTCTGAGAGAGTGGGCAGAAGGCCTTCATTTGATTTCTCGAAGCACAACTAAGAACCCGCCTGTGTGCCCCACCAGTTCCTGTAGCGTCCTCCTCTGTCAAATGGGGGCCATGACAGGTCTTTCTGACTGAATTCTTGTACGAATGAAATATGAGCTCAGGCATGTTGACAGAACTTGGCATAGAGCAGGTGGTGGCAGATTCTTTAGATGGTTCTTTCAAAATCCATTCCAACCCCTTTTCTAGCTCGCTTCCTGGACCTTGGAGGCTGGAAAACTAACCACCACTTTTCTCAAACTCCCTTGCAGCTGCGGTTGTGTTTGTGATTTGGATTCCACTGTGTCAGACTTTAGAACCATGAGTTATGTGGAGGCAGAAGCAGGTGTGAAACATCCATTTTGCTGGTGCTGATTGTGGCAAAGGCAACGTGATTCCGGAGCCAGCAGCTGCGGTGGCAGCTTAGCAGCCCTGAAGTTTCTGGATGGTGGCAGAGACTGCAGCTTGCTTGTCAACCAGTTCCAGAGCGTAATTTTAGACGTGTAATTTCATTCCTGCATGTTTAACCTAGAGTCTATTTCTTAACTTTCCTAAGGATTCTGTGAGCTACCCAAATGCTTTACTGAATCCCTTTGTGCTGAAGTTAGCGAGAGAGGAACCTATTGGGTGCAACCAAAAAAACTGACCAATACCTAAGTGATCAATAAATGCGAGCTGCTCTTATTCTTTTGAGACCTTGTCAAAGGCATGGTAATAAAGTAGGTAATTATATTTCAGGAAAGAAAATTAAAAACTATCACCTAGATGATAATTTCTGGGGCACACTGTCCCATACGTAGGGCTTTCTTTAATGATGGGTATGTTCTATATTTGCACCCAGCATGGGGGCCACTTGTAACATGTGGCTCTGAGCACTTGAAATGTGGCTATTGTGACTGGGGGAGTGGATTTTAAATTTCATTTCATTTTAATTCACTTACATTTAAAATTAAATAATCACATGCAGCTGGCGCTACTGTGTTGGACAGGACAGTCCTCAAGTGCCTGAGCCTGGCCCTTCCACAGGGTTATTTATTTATTTATTTATCCTCACCTGAGGACATTTTTTCCCCCTTGCTTTCAGAGAGAGAAGGCGGGAGAGAGAGAAACACTGATGTGAGAGAGAAACATCAACTGGTTGCTTTTCCCTGTGAGTGCCCAGGCCAGGGATTGTAGGTGCCCAAACTGGGATCAGACCACAACCTAAGTCTGTGCCCTGACTGGGAATTGAACCTGCCACCCCTCAGTTACAAGGTGATGCTCCAACCAACTGAGCCACACCAGCCAGAGCCACAGGAGTCTTCTCTCTCTCATGCTCGCGTGCTCTCTCTCTCTCTCTGTCTCTCTCTCTCTCAGCAAGAAACTTCTTCAACCAGTTTTCTCTCAATCCCTAGTCTCAGGCCACATCTTAGTAATCTACAGAAGTGGAACATGCCCAGGTCAAAGACAACTTTTATATAAGTTTAGGGTCTCATTGTCTTCAACTTCCATTCTAGGATTCCATACTGACTTTTTATTTGCACAGTTTACTGAAGTGTTTTGCTGAAATGCAATCTATCTCAAAAGACAACTCTCGCCCTTCACTTACAGAAAGAAAATCAGTTTTTTTGTATTGAAAAATATGTATTTCCCATCATTTCTAGGTAGCGAGTTTCTAAAAATATTGGGGTCCTGTATCAGTTAGACAAGTGGTTCTCACAGCCTGCAGCATATGAGAATCACCATAATAAAGTAATTTATTGCCAGCCACTCTCCAGCCCAATTAAATTAGCATTGTGGGTAATGATGAAAGGGAAACAAAACTTTATTTGCAACACTAAAGTTTTTAAAGGGTAGAATGTATTCTGATATTAACTAGCAATTAAAAGTTAATAAAGATAGAAGAAAATGACAGTAGGATTTTAAAAGGGGTAATTTATTGTGAGATAATATAAATAATTGTAAACTTGTTATTTAAAGCCAAACTTTTTTTGCCCCCCATTTTGGTTGACTAGCAACCAATAAGGAGACTTCTAATAATCATAGAACAATCATCCAACAACTCTGGGAAGCTTCTGGAATACAAACATTCACAAAGAGTGCAGATTCCAGTCAGGCTCCTTTTCCATATTGTCACTTTCACATGTTCTATGAATAAACCCAAATAATAAACCATAAATGTTTTATTGACCTTCCTTCCCCTACTACCAAACAAATGGACAACCCAGGGGAAGCTGGGGGAAAAAGACAAGAGGTGTCCAAGTTCAGTGTCAGATGGCCTCTTTATTATGCTCCCCATCCCTCCACCTCCACACACACAGATGTTCCCTGTGAATGAACTTGGCTCTGAGTGATTCACACCAGAATGGGACGGTCCCAAAAAGTTTGAAGAGAGGAACTTGCACTTCCTGAAATGATTTTTCTCTTGACATTAATTCAAATTTAGGAAGAAGCTGCTTAAGTCTTTTATAAATACCCATGAAACATATGTCACTCAAGACTGATTTTATTTCCTTCTGTTCTCTCCGTGCCTCTTTTATCTTGCCCAAGTGCCACTGTGACTTCGGTTCACCACTGCCCGGAGTGGCAGCTGGGAGCTGGCCCTTTCCTCCTGCCCTGATTAAAAAATGGTCGGGCGCTTCCCACTACTCGAGGGCCCAGGTGCTTGAAAATACTGCCAAATACTTCTTCCAACGTAAAAAAAAATGTAATTGTATTCATTAATTCTGGATTAGGTAGCACATTTCAATAATGTGAAAGTTCAGAAGAAACAAAGAGCATAAAGTAACATTTGTTCTTCTATCCAGGCCCCTCCTTCCTCGTTCCCTTCCCCAGTGCCACCAGTTGCTGGGGTATCTGCTCCGAGATGGATATTTTGTGCATATTTCAAAGAATATGTTTACATTACCTTACTCCCTTTTATTCTCTTATTTTACAGATGATAACTCACCACACAAATATATTTTCCATTTGTTTGTTTTTTCTCTCGCTCCTCCCATTAGAACGGGAGCTCAGCAAGGGAAGGGATTTGATTTCATACCATGATGTTTGCTCAGTGTGGAGGGGGGTGCCCAGCATGCCGTAGTTGCCCCACACAGATTTGTTGAGCGAGTGAATGAACACACACTGTTCTCTGTTTGGCTTTCTTCATTTTGGGACTCACCTCATTTCAGTACATAAGAAACCTCCTCATTTTTTTTTTCAAGACTGTATAGTGTTCCATTGTCTAGACTCATTATAGTTTGTTTAATCAGATCCCTACTCTGATGGGTATTAGTTTTGTTTCTAATCCTTAGCTTTGAAAAATAATCCTGCCATTTGTATTCTTGTACAAACACGCCACACATGTGTGAGTATATCTGTCTGTAAGAGAAATTCTTGAGTGCAGAATGGCTGGGTCCAAGGGTGAGGTATGAGATATTTTTTGCCAACTTCTTTTTCATCAAAAGCACCTTGCTGTGTTTAAATAGCATTGCCGCAGTCTATGGCAGTTGCCTTAAGCCTATCCTAGGGAACTCTATCAGGAATGAAATTGTTCTGGTTGGGCCTGAATGTATTAATCTCTCCTTATTCCCCCATATCCAACAGGAAAACCTCATATGAGTTGGGACAACACAGGTGAATCTCGAAAACATAACATGGAAAGAAAGAAGTTACCCACAAAAAAGTTCACACTGTGTCATTCCATTCATGTGCTGGTAAATCAAGAATAAATAAGGTGAGTCTGTAGTTACAGAGATTAGAACAGTGCTGCCTGAGGCTGGTGGGGTCCGAGGGCATTGACTGGAAAGGGAAACCATGGAACTTTCTGAAGAGATAGAAAAGTTTATATTCTGATTTGGGTGGTGAATGTTTGCAATTGTCAAAACTCGACCTATACATTAAAATGTAGACATTTTGTTTTATGCAAATTATACCTCAATTTTAAAAACTTGAAAGAACTCTACTGGAGGACATAAGGTGTTATTATCTGTAGAGTCCAGTCACGCTGGCCTTTTAAAAATTCCTCAAACACATCATGTTTTTCCCCACCTGACAGCTCGCATACGTGCTGTTCCCACTGCCTGGAATACGCTCTCTTCCCCCTTCTCAACACACAAGCACATCCCAAACCCATATACACATACACACACACACACAACTATCTTTTTCTAATTCATGACGTGTCAAACTGCGTATAGCATACAAAATAGCTGGAAGCATACGCATACTGGCATAACCTGGATTACCTTGCAAAACTCAGGTATAAGAAATTGTACTACACTTCTCAGTTTGGGGAGACCCGAACTTCAATGCACTTCTGTATCTTTCTAGGAGGTGAAGGTGATACAATCACAGTCATTTCTGGCCACGTTTCCCACTTGGCCTCTTGAGATTGGAGAAATATCTGGGGTTTAAGAAATTCAGAAAAATTGAAGAAGGGTCTTTGGTGCACCTGGCATCGCTGAGATGCGCCTTGTTGTGTGTGATTTACTAGAAGGTGAAAGGCTCAGATTCAGTGGCAAGCTCAGTCCTCAGGACTTTCTGGGAGGGTTCTCAGACCTAAGAGGTGCTAAGTGCTCAGTCTTCCTGGGGCACTGGCCATTCCCACCCTGCCACCTTCTGGGCTCCGCACAGGGTTGGGGTGGGAGTCTCTCTCACTCCGGAACTTTTCCTCTCCATCCTACCAGTGGATTTGCACTGTAGAAACCCATCCCGTTGAGAACAGCTGAGAGAAGGCTAGAGGGGATTTGGGGAGACCCATTAAAGCTTGTAAGTCTCCAGGTCGGGCTCTGTCTCAGCTTCTATTAAATAGCAAATGGGAAAACTGGGAAAGGGGAAAGAAATGCATTTTCTCCCCAAGCTTCTAAGAGTTTTGCAAACAATTAGAGTAATTAAAAGTTCTCAGAAGTAGCCGATGGTGCCCTTTTCACCGAGGGAATGTGGGCCAAGCATGATATATTAAAAGAGAAGGAGCTGTTCTATTGAAGTTAAAAATAATCTTCTGTCACATGGCTAATTTGTTGGAATGCAGCAATTAAAGGGCTGTGAGCAGAAGGAGAGCTGGAAGCAGCTGGGGAGCTCACAGGCGGAGTGCATGCCCTGGGGATTGTGTTTGCAGAGAGAAAAAACAGTGTCACAGATGACTTAGGGCACCTTATCAGAAAACCCACAAAAGGGCCAGGAAGAAGGAAAAGTGGGGTCATTTAGAGCTGTGACCTTTGGGCTTATCAGACAGTGACGGGATGGGTCAGGACTTGTCACCTGTGCTCTGGGATGCTGATTCACTCAGCAAGGATGAAGACCTTCCAGTCCCCGCTGCACTTTGAAAACCATGCCTTTGAATCCATTTCAAAGGAACACAGAACCGAAAGGAGCCCTTTGATCCTAAATCCATGGGAAAGCCAATCTATATGGTCTTGAGCAGGAAAGCTCAGAGCAGGAATACAAATCCTAGTTTGGTAAATTAGGGATTAAGTTTTGGAAACTTTTTTTTGGAGGGGGTGGGATTTTGGAGTTGAAAGAGGGTTTGTTTGTTTTTTTAAGTTATTTAGTATAATATCTGAATTTTCCAGGTGAGGCAACAAGCTCAGAGAGGCTGATTTGCTCTAGGTCATTCAACCAGCAGGTCACAAGCTAGATTCTAATCCAGCTCTTTGGACAGAGGGGGAAGGCGTGGTGGTTGGGAATTGCAGGAATCAGACGGCCCTGTTTGTGCAGTCCTGGTTCTGTGAGTTGCAGGACCATCTCACCAAGTTCCTAATCTCTCTCAGTCTCAGTTGAACCCCCTGTGAAATGGGAATAACACTAGTACCTACAATTGTTATAATGCATGTAAAGGGTTTAGTGTAGCGTCTAGCTTGGAGTAAATGATTAAAATGTTAGCTGTCATTATCCTATAGCTTTCTAGCTCTTTCTGACTACCCCATATCAGGTTGGCATCTTTGCAGGGTAACTTGTGCAGACACATCCTCTTTGGTTTGGGCGGGATTCTCTTTCTCTCCTTTCCACCTCCAACTCTCATTCATGATCTATAAAGAAAAAGAGGACTAGTCACTCTCTCCTAGCATTTCCTGCATTTTAACACACCCATGCTACTACTTGTTTTCTCTCAAGGTACTGCCCTCCAGCCTGTGCTTTCAGTACAGTTTCCAAGTTGCTGGCAGGCAGAGATGGCTCCCACGTGAAGAAGCAAGGCTTTCTGCCCCACGTGAGGTGACCAGTTCTATCTGAATCTTTTAGAGTACTTGATCAATTTTCAAATATATAATGGGCACCACTAACAGAAGGGCCTCTGGACATCCAGGGGAGGTTTGGGCTTCATAGTCTAAGCACCCCTGTGGGTGGAGGCCAACTTCTGTGTGCGATGTTGCAAGGGACAGCAACCTACCTCACACTAGCTTGAGAAAAAAAAACATGCAAATTTAGCGGTTCCTGTAACAAGTCTAGATTTCATTAAGACTATATTCAAGGGTTCAACAGTGTCCCCAGGGCATCTTTCTGCTTTGTCCGGCCCTATTCTTTAGACTCTTTCCACTTGGCAGACAAAACAGCTGTGAAGAGCCTCCAGCTTTACTTTTCTCTGGTTTCATATTCTTCAGGTAAATCAGCAATCTTACCCTCTTAGTTCTCTTTCCCTGATGGGCTGCCTTAAATCCACCTGCAAGCAAAGGGAGGCCGAGCATATTGATTGGCAGCCCCACTAGCTTCGCACAGACTGGCCTGGGAACAGTTTCTCCGAGGAGGATCTGGGTACTGAGGCCAGAAGAAAGGGAAAGGCAGGCAGATACAAACCATTAATGCTGAAGTACAGCATTTATGTGCACTTTTCTGAGGTGGTGGCTTATAGCTTGCTCTATATTCTTAAAGTGTTCTGTAATCCAAGACGTAGTAAGAACTTTTGGAGAGGAAAGTGCTTTCTCCCCACTCCACGTATTTCCTTCCCGTAGCAGGTCATCAATTAACGTTAAGGCTCCGGTCTCCTCCTCGTGCCTTCATCTTTGGCACTCAGGGAAGGGAGAGCGTTAGGAGAAACTGGGTATGAGTTGCCCAGTGTCTTCCTTTTTCCTGTCTCTTAGGAACCAGACCCTTGGAGGGAGCACAAGTCCTCTCCCTCCACACGGGGAGGCCACCCTGCCCCCTGCACCACTGCTGCCAGGACTGATGGGAAAGTCTGTCTAATTCAGGTGTAAGACTATTGGGCACACACTCAGCCACAGTCGACAACCTCTGTCCTTAGCAGAAGATCATCCGTCTCCTGACTACCCGGAGCCGCCACTGACTCAGAGCCTGAGGAGGCGTGCTATTCATTGAGTCCCTTCTGAAAAGTCCACAAACCCCACCAACTTACAACACGGGGACCCACAGATTTATCTTCTCACTCTCCCTTTCCTGGCTGGGTCCCCTGTGGGAGGAGCGGGTCCCCTTGGGAACCCACAGAGATGGTGGAGTGCCCTGGCAGTAGGCTCAAAGGGAGGTAACAAAAATGACAAAAGGCGAGGAAGCTAGATGTTCCACGGCAGTTGAGAGGCACTGGGACTCTCTCATGTGGAGGGGGAACAAAAACAATGGCGGGGTGATTTAACAGTGGCCTTCCCCAGAACCATGCTGAGGGTGTGGCATCAACTGGTAGTTTTCCACAGCCTCGCCCTGACCCGGATCAGAGTCACGTCTGTCCCCCCACCTTTCCTGGCCCACTCGTGTCCTCCTACGCCCGCCTCTTGGAAAACAAATTGTTCCACTTCCACAGAAAGGTACGGAAGGTTGGGGCACGTGAACCTACTTAAATAAAATACCCTTTTATTATTGTTTCTTTGTAGTTACAAAGCTAATAAATAATCTGCATAAAGAACTACAAAGTACACAAAAGTATAAAGATGAAAATGAAAATCATCTCTCAGCCCTCACCCCTGAGATAGCCCTTAGTGTTTTGGTTTATTATTGTGCAGCCTTTTTCTATTGATGTTTTTAATTTTATTTATTTCTTTTAAAAAATATCAAAATATTTCAAATACAACAGCAGTGTATAGTGTGAAAGATGAAAATAGTATATTCTGCTGTTTCTCTTAATATTGTGATCCATGTGTACTATTAAGTTGAATATTTTTATTGTTACCACTTTTCTCTGTCAGGGCCTTAGGAATAGTTGACATTCATGTCCCACGTTTAAGAGGAATGTACTGGTATTATGACACCCATCTTAGAAACGGGGAGCTGAGATTCTCAGACTCACCCACAGCCACACTCAACTCCTGCCAGGGTCCCTGGGGGCAGGAAGAATTTCCTAACAAAAGAGACAGTTTTGTTAAGAAAAGGGGGTAAAAGAAGGGGCTTCCATAAGCCAGGGTTGTTGGCTTTCCTTCTCTATCAGAAATGCCCATCACATCACCCTGAGCCACACTGGCCTCCAAGCTCCAAGATTTTGATTCTGGGAACATATAGCTGCATGTGAACAAAGAGTCAAGGGAAGGTTCTTTATCAGCAGGAGAATTATTTTATTCAATGTGTTTCCTTACATGAGTTGGGACAATAAGGGAAAAGAATGAGAAGAAATGAAAGGCCAGTTACTCAGGCCACTTTCAATGAATCACCCCCCGCCCACCCCCCGTGTCATTACCCATCCCCAGTCAGGAAAAGCTTGAGTTTTTCCTTGCCAAGAAAAACAGAGGGCAGGAAGAAACAAATTATGACCTTGTTTGTGTTTTGTGTGTTAACTATTTGATTTATAGGACTTGATCCAGTGATTATGGATGAAAGAAAATATCCCAGGGTCCCAAACCTAACCTGAACTTAACCGAGGGTGGGTCTCACGTCCACTGCTCAAAGTTAGCACGGAGTTAAAATGCTTTAAGAATAAAGTTTCAGTGTTAGGGGCTGCCTGTAGGCATTCTCAGCCCAAGGACATGGCCAAATTCCTTTCCCACACTCCATTTTCCAGAAAACCCTGTTTAGAAAATGTTTAGAAACTTAACCCCTTTTATCTCATTCCAGAAGTTGGGAATTTATCTATTCAACAGATAGTTATTAAACACCTACTGTGTGCCAAGCACTGTGTCAGATACTGGGGATACAATGGTGTGCGTACAGGTCAATCGACACATAAACCAGAAAAGAATCAGGTAGCCATGGGTTCTATGGAGAGAAAGAAAACAGAATGGTGTGTCAGAGACACTGGGTAGCTACATAGGACAGGTGGCTCACCTAGGTTTCACCAAGGGAGTGACATTTAATGTAAGATAAATATTATAAAATGTGAATGCAGAGTGGGGCGGTAGACTGTTCCAGGCAGAGGGACTATGGTAGTCCCTTAAGGTAGACTCATGCTTGGCATACAGAAATAAAGCCCTCTCAACTAAAAAAAAAATTGTTAGCTATTAGGGTTATTTTTCAGGGTTGTCTATCTTGGGTTATCTAGATAAAAGGTTGATAATTCCTTTATTATTCTTAACTGTAGAATCAATGTTTGACTTCACATGTAAGAAGAGAAATGCAAATCAAGACTACAGTGTGATACAGTTTTTGAAACTTTCAGATTGGCGTAATTCAAAAACTTTGATAATGCACTCTGTTTGTGGGTCTATGAGGAAACGGGCATTCACGCACATCACCAGTGAGAATATAAATTGGTACAGTTGCTAACATACAAGTGTCTGTGCTTTTGACCTAGAAATCCCATTTCTTCTTGTACATATGTGTGAGGTGAGATAAAGGCTATTAATGACAGCATTGTTTGTAATCCTAAAAGATTGAGTCTAGTGAAATTATGATATGTTCATACAAACTGAATAGTAAACTATAAAAAACTATAGTTGCAGCTATAAAATAAAGTGTATGAGGAGGCTCTCTATGTCTTACTATCTAAACATTCATAAGATATCATTAAGTTAAAAAGCCAAGATGCAGAACTGAGCATCGTTTGCTACCTTTCATATTAAAAGTGAATAAAACTAACACATAAGTATTTATATTTACATAGGCAAACTTAAGAAAGATACACAAAAAATTATTAAGGGATTATTTGGGGTAGGCAAGTGAAAAGAGATGGAAAGTGGGTGGAAATGGTTGGGAAGAAACTTTTTGTTGAGCTGTTTAATTAATTAATTAATTTTTTTTAGTTTTGAACAATGTCAATGAATTAAAGACTTAAACAATTAAATTTAAAAATTGTCCCCTCTGCTCCCCCTTTTCTTAATTTATTAATTTATCACTTAATCCATTGTTTACTCCTCCAGCCACACCCCTGAGAAAGGTTCTACTTAAATCATGTTTAATAAAAAGTACATTAGTGCAAGTAAATTATATCCACTAAAGCCTATTTTTCAAATGCATTAGAGGTTAATCTAATCACAAATGTGCTTTCTGTGCCTTGCTGTGCATCCCCAACAGATTAGATAAAGGGCATTGAACAAAGACAATTGGAGTATTCTGCCTAAAGGAAATTGTGTTTATGGAAACAATTATGATTTTTATTTTTTTCTTTTCTTTATTTTTTCATTGGGGTGACATTGATTAATAAAATTATACAGATTTTGGGTGTACCATTCTATGATGCATCATCTGTATATTGTATTGTGTGCTCACCACCCAAAGTCAAGTCTCCTCCCATCACCATTTAACCTCCTTTACCCTCTTGTACCTGCCCACCCCCCTTAGTCCCTGGTAATCACTATACTGTGATCTGTCTGTGAGTTTTTAAATTGAATTTATTGGAGTGACATTAGTTAATAAAAATTATATAGGTTTCAGGTGTATGATTCTATAATATATTTTTTTGCTTAATCCCTTTACCTTTTTCATTCAGACCCCCAACCCCCTCTCCTCTGACAGCTGTCAGTCTGTTCTCTGTATCTATGAGTCTGTCTTTGTTTGTTAGTTTATTTTGTTCTTTAGATTCCACATACGCTGGTAAGTGAAATCATATGGTATTTCACTTTCTCTCACTGGTTTTTCAAAGTAGCCTTTTGCCCAGTAGATTGTAGTAAAAACAGTGACATTATCCATTCTCTGTCCTAGATTATCTTTATCAACCCCGACTCCCAATACTCCTTACACTCTAAAAAACTTCAGCATTTTAATGTCTTTCACGTGCATTCTTTTCTTGGCTCCCAAACTGGGATGTATTGTAGCCTTTCATGTTTTTTTAATTCCTCTTTTTCCCACTCTGCATGCTGTTCCCCTAACTACTAGTCTAGACTTCCAACACTATGTCTCAGTTTTGTCTGTTTTTCCTCCAACACCTTTGTTGAGATGTAACTCACAGAGTATACAATTCACCTATTGGAAGTGTACAATTCAGTATTTTAATATTGTCCTAGGGTTGTGCAGCCATTTTTGCAATCTAATTTTAGAATATTTTACTCTCCCTTCAAATGAACCTCAAAACCATTTCCCCAGAGCTTTCAAGCCCTGTGCAACCACTACATCTACTCTCTCTATAGGTGTGTCTCTTCTGGAAATTTCACATAGGCGAAATCATACAGTATGTGGTCTGTCATGACAGGCTTCTTTCACTGAGAATGGTGTTTTCAAAGTACCCCCATGTTTTAGTATGTTATTTTTCTCCACAATAGTATTTCATTGTAAGGACACACCACACTCTATTCATTCATCAGCTGAGGGACATTTGAGTTGTTTTCACTTTTTGGCTATTATGAATAATGCTGGTATGAACACTGGTGACCAAGTTTTTGTGTGGACATATGTTTTCATTTCTTTTGGGCATATTCCTAGTAGTATAATTGCCAAGTCATATGTTAATTCTGTGTTTAACTTTGTGAAGAACTGCCGGAATGTTTTGTACGATAGATGCTCTATTTTACATTCACACGAGCAATGTGTGAGTGTACTAGTTTCTCTGAATACCCACCAACACTTGCCATTGTCTGTCTTTTTTATTGTGGCCATCCTAGTGGGTAGGAAGTGGAATCTCATTATAGTTTTGAGTTGCATTTCCCTGACAGTAGTGATGTTGAGAATCTTTTCATAAGCTTATTGGCCATTTGTACAGCTTCTTTGGTGAAATGTCTACTTAAATCCCTCATGCATTTTTTAAATTGAGGTGTTTTTTTTTTATTTCTGTAAGGTTTCTTTATACACTCTGGATACAAGTCCCTTCTCAGATACAGGCATACCACCTTTTATTGTGCTTTACTTTATTGTGCTTCACAGGTGTTGTGCTTCTATACAAATGGAAGGCAAGACCCTCCACCAGCAAAAAGATTACAACTCTATTTCAGAACTCAGCTTTATGGCAGTGGTCTGGCTCTGAACCTGCACTATCTCCAAGGTGTGCTTGTATATGATTTGGAAATATTTTCTCTCATCCCGTGGATTGTCATTTCAGTCTTTAGTGGTATTGTTTGCGGCACAAAAGTTATAAATTTTGATGAAGTTCAGCTTTTCCGTTTATTCTTTTATCACTCGTGTTTTTGTTGTATTTATTTTATGTCTTTGAGCTTTGACTAGATAGAATAATACTCTTTATTTTCCTCAGTTCTTTTAAAAAATATTTTATTTATTTATTTTTAGAGAGAAGGGAAGGGAAGGAGAAAGAGAGGGAAACATCAATGTGTGGTTGCCTCTCACATTTCCCCTACTGGGGACCTGGCCTGCAATCCAGGCACGTGCCCTGACTGGGAATCAAACCAGCAACCCCTTTGGTTTGCATGCCTGCGCTCAATCCACTAAGCTACAACAGCCAGGGCTATTTTTCTCAGTTCTTATGTTTAAATCTTTGATCAAGCTGGGGTTTCTTTTGGTATATGGATACATAGCCAAATTGTTTCTTTCCAGAAAAAAATTCTGGCAAAGCTTTAGTTATTATGATTTTGTTTCAACTGTAAAAGGCCCCCTTTTCCTCGCTGATTTGAGGTAATGTTTTACCATATTTTCTATTCTTGACAGTATATCTTAGGACTTTCTGTTTTGTTTCATTGCTCTATCACACATTGTTGGTAAGGCTTAATGAGAGCAGGCATTCTTACACATGAGGGGGTGTGAAGAGGATAAATAAGAAAATAAAAGTTACGTGGTGGTTATTTGGTAGAAATGAATATTTATGAGGTCTGTCCAGGAAGTACCCAGCCATGTAATATGAAAAATAGACATTTATTGAAGAAGATACAAGATACAAGAAACTTTGTACAAAGGACAATGATGCCTCAATATCCTTCAAAGCAGGCACCTTGGGACTTCACATAGTTCTCCCAGTCACCATCAGCTGCCCTGCTGTATTTTCCTAAATCTTATTGATGGTCTGAAACCTCTTCCCTTTCAAAGGTTATTTTATTTTATTATTTTTAATATTTTACTTACTTATTTTTAGAGAGAGGGGAAGGGAAGGACAAAGAGAAACATCAGTGTGTGGTTGTCTCTTGTGTGCTCCCTACTGGGGACCTGCCTCGCAACCCAGGCATGTGCCCTGACTAGGAATCGAACTGGTGACCCTTTGGTTCACAGCCCATGCTCAATCCACTGAGCTATACCAGCCAGGGCCAAAGATTATTTTAGTTTTGGGAAAAGCCAGAAGTCACAGGATGTCAAATCTGGGCTGTAGAGGGGCTGAGTCACCTGGGTGATTTGATGTTTCTCCAAGAAACTCTGCTCAAGACACGATGCATGAACAGGCACGTTGTCTGTGATGACGCTGCCAATCACCAGCTTCTGAGTCATTTGAATAGTTTCTGTGGTGGAATGTTCAAGCTTAAAGCAAAATTTGATGCAGATTTGTTGCTGTACTCACTCAGTCATTTTGAATGTGATGGCCACACAGTACACATGCTCACTTAACAGTGTCTACTGCCCCCACTGACTGTGAAGTTGTCATTGTTCACACATGCACATTCCAGTCCACTCTCCTTGGCTGGCAGGTTATATCGATGTCGCACAAACCATTCTTGTTATATTAACAATGATTGGACTTTTTCTGGACAGACCTCATACATATATTTTATATATACACACACATACACACACACACACATTTATACACATATATTTTGAAACATGTGACTGAAAACACTGGAAGAAAAGTGGGTGTTCTGAACCAGGAAAACCAACCCAGGGTAGAAAGTGTCCTTGTCGATTGCTATTTGCACAGCCATAGTCTCCTTCTCTCTAGCAACTGGGTTAGGCTGGTGGGTATTGGGCTCCACTGGCATAAAACTAACAGGATGGCCTGGAGGAAGCTCCAAAGGGGTCTACCCAACAGGCCAGAGATGTCTGACTGAACCTAGGATGCTTGCAGCCAAACCCTCCCTGAGGCTGTACCCTGGAGGATATGGGTCCCTAACTTTGCACTAACTTCTGGAAGCCTCACTGACACTGGATGGCCAGGCCCAGCCCTGGGAAGGAAGGAGTGTGCTGGACTGTGGTGGCTGCAAGAGTTTGTCTTCCCTCTGGCAGGGCAAGAGAATAGGTTGCCAGGGGACATAATACCTTGAGAAGGGCAAGAAGGGCAAGATTTGAGGGCCACCTCATTGTATTCCACTCCTGGGAATGGGAAAGGGTACCCCCCACCTCAAAAAAAGAATGTGAGAACGAATACAGGAGGTGTGTTTGATATCTGCAAGATCCTTGGCTCTATTCACAAGGAGCATGCACAGTGTTTTCCTTGCCAGTTTCCTGTTCTAATTTTACTATTTACATAAAAGCTGTAAAATGAACTCGCAAGGTAAATAACAACTCCCCTGGAGCAGCATCTCACACACTGATTCAGCTGTTACCTGAGATAAATTTTGGAGCACACACCTGGTAAGCAGCAGAGAGAGGATTTTCTAATATATAAAAAAGCAAAAGTAAAATGTTAATGTTAAAAGTGTCTCTGGTGGTAAGTGCCATCTGCCTCTTAGTAAGTTTCCTTAAGAGCTGGGTTTCATTAATAGCATCTGGCTGGGTTTCATTAATAGCCAGCATTTTGGAGTTATTACCCAGAGTGAGAACACTGTGGGGCAGGTGCTTTTCTGAGTTTTGCTTAATACTCATGTTGACAGTGTCCTTAGCTATAGTTACTCAGTAAACATTTATCCAAGATCTTGAAAAAAAACTATTAAAGATATAAAAGATATTGAAGAAGAAAAAATTATAAACTATTATTCTAATGAATATAGATGCAAAGATCCTTAAGAGGTAGTACAAAATCGAATCCAACAATATATAAAAAGACCAATATCATAAAGAAGTGGGGTTTATTCAGGAATGCACAAGTTAGTTAAATGTTTGAACACCATTCAAAGTAATTCACCATTATTAACAGAATAAAAAAGAAAAATCATATGATTGCTTCAATAGATGCAGAAAAAATTTTAACAGGATTTAGTATCCTTTTGTAATTAAAAAAAAGTAGATCAGGAAGCTAAGAATATAGGGAAATTCTGCCTCTATCTGATAAAGAGCATTTACTGAGAAATCTACAGACAGCATAATTAATCATGAAAGACTGAATGCTTTCTTTCTCTTCCTAAGACTGGGAACAGCAGCCCTGACTAGAGTGGCTCGGTTGGTTGGGCAGGTTGGTTGGGCATCTTCCTGCAAAACGAGGGTCACCGGTTTCCTCCGCTGTCAAGGCAGAGGCCGGGGTTGAGGGTTTGGTCTCCAGTCAGGTGTGTACGAGAGGCAACCAATCGATGTTTCTCACATCAATGTTTCTCTCCATATTTTTCTCCTTCCTTTCCCCTCTCTCTAAAAATAAATAAAATCTTAAAAAAAAAGATTGGGAACAACACAGGGATACTCATTTCATCATTTTAAGTCAATGTTGTATTAGACACCCTAGCCAGAGAAATAAGGCAAGGGAAAAAGTGCACTTTGGAAAGAAGGAAGTGAAACTGTCTCTGTTAGCAGACAACATGATTGCTACATTTAAGTTTATTCTTAAGAAATCTAAAAACAAAAAAGGGGGCGGGATAAAGGAGGAAAAAATTGGAAAACTGTAATAGCATAATCAATAAAAAATACTTTAAAAAAAGAAATCTAAAACCAACCACTAGAACTATAGGTGAATTTAGCAAGATCACAGGATATTAAGTCAATGTACAAAGTCAATTATATTTCTCTGTCATAGCAGCAAACAACTGGAAAATGAAATAATACCATTTGCAATAGCATGAAACACCATAAAATATTTAGAAATATGCTTAACAAAAGATGTAGAAGACCTCTATGCTGAAAGCTACAAAATAAAAAAAGATTCAAATAAATACAGCAGTACGAGTATACAGTGTTTGCGCACTGTAAAACAAAAGGTCGTTAAGATATTTATTCTTTATAAATTCTATAGAAATTAACAGGCTGATTATTAAAAAATAACCTTTTATTCTGGGATAATTTTAGGTTTACAGAAAAAATATAAAAATAGTACAGTTCTTGTATACCTCTCACTCAGCTTCCCATATGTTAACATTTTACATATACTAGAGTACATTTGTCAAAACTAAGAAATCAAAATGGCACATTACTGTTACTTTATCTGGATCTAATCCAGGATATTACATTGCATTCACTTGTTATGTCTCCTTAGTCTACTTGAGACAATTGACAATTTCTCAGTGTTGCCTTGTTTGTTTGTTTAAAATGAGTGTGACTGTTTTGAGGAATACTGGTCAGGTGTTTTGTAGAATGTCCCTCATGTTTTTCTCATGCGTAGACAGGGGTTATGAGTTATTGGGGAGGCATACCAGAGAGGTGAAGTGTCCTCCTTATCACATACCAGGGGGTACATGCTATCAACATGATTTATCTCTGGTTATGTAACCTTGATCACTTGGTTTAACAAGCTGGGGTTTTTCTTTATTACAATGAAAAATTACAGTTTTGCTACTGAGGCCACATATTGCATCTTGACTCATATTGTTTCTTCCCAGCTAATCAAAGGGTGTGAGGCTGCCCACCAGGGCACTGCACAAAATATGGAATGCTTCACGAATTTGCGAGTCATCCTTGCACGGGCGGCATGCTAATCTTTTCTGTATTGTTTCAATTTTAGTATATATGCTGCCAAAGTGAGCACTCAACAAGTTGATTTTTAAATTTATGTGGAAATACAAAGGGTCTAGAATAGCAGAAACAATTCTGAAAGGTAAGAGTAAAGCTGAAGGATCTACATCACCTGACTTCAAGCTTTACTATAAAGCAATAGTAATCAAGACAGTGTAAAATTGTCATAAGGACAGACAAATCACTGGAACAGAAGAGAAAGTTCAGAAAAAGACCCACACTTACATGGTCAATAAATTTTAAACAAAGACATAAAAAGAATTCAATGGGGAATCATGCTTTCATCAAATGGTGTTAGAACAAATGGGTATCCACTTAGAAAGCTGCCTAACTTTGCCAGTTTGTGAGTGGTAGGGATAGGATTCCAAGCTACACTTTCTGGCAAATGTGTTAGAAATTTCTAATATGAATTTATAATCACTGCATATAGGCTACAATACTTTTCTGAATCAAATTCAATTTGAGGCCATACTTTTCAAAAATGTCAAAGTCATGAAGGAAAAAGAAAGGCTGATGAAATGGACCTTATTAAAGGAGACTGAGGACACAGGAAACGTAAACAAGTGCATTGCATGATTCTGGACTGGATCCTGGATCACAAAGACACATCAAACGTTCAAAAAGGACATTATTCTCATAACTGGAAAATGATATGGACAGCATGTTAGGTAATAGTTTTGTGCAAATGTTAAATTTCCTGAATTTAAAAATTATACCGGGGTTATGTAAGAGCATTTTTTTTATTCTTAGAAGATACAGAATTATTTTGAGGTGAAGGGTCATGATGACTGGAACTTATTCTGAAATGATTTAACATTATTAACAACAATAATAAACATAAATCAAAGAAGTCAAATATGGAAAAGTATTAACAATTGGTGAATCTAAATTAGAATTATACAGGAGTTCATTGTATTATTCTTTCCATTTAACCTGTTTGAAATTCTATTGTACAACTGAAATTTAAATATTAATTAAAAAACACTTTAATCTGACCCTAATTCCACTGACCACGATTGTGACAAATTCAGTCTCAGGCATTTATGAGGGTGTTCTCCTCACCCCCAGGGTTTTATATAGTACAAAACATTCAGGAAGGGCCCTCAAGCTTTCAGCCCACATTGGTCACTGAAAGGTCTATTGTATTGCAGAGCTGACAAGCCTCCACATTAGGGCTCAAGCACATCTGCTGGCTGGGAGCCCTGGTACCAAGGGTCCAATCTTCCTGCACGCACCACGCAGTCCTCCCCCTCAAAGGCCCTGTCACCTGCTCAGGTCCCTATGAGGAAGCTTGTGGCATCACTATTACTGGAGGAATCCCACCTACTTTTCTCTTGGAAAAGCCCGCTTTTGCTTTTGTGGTATTCCATGTATATTACCTCCTCCTCCTGTTGCTGAGTGGTTGGTCCAGGCTATCCTCTTAGGGTTTTGAAAAACACAATTGGACTCAGTTTCCTACAGGTGAAGGTAGAAAAAGAAATGCTGTGTAATTTTACTAATACATTGCATGCACAATAAATACATTGCATTGCATATCTAACATGCTTCAAAAAAACTTCAGTGTTTTGTGGGTTTTTTTTTCATGTCTTAAAACAATGTTTTAGTATTTCTCATGATTCTGTGGGTTGATTGAGCAGTTCTGCTGATTTAGCCTTACTCACTCATGTGTTTGCATTCAGCTGAAAAATTGATTAAGGGGTGGGCTCAGCTGAGACAGCATTTAAATGGCTGACTCCTTAATCCCAGGCTTTGCAGCATCATGATCTTGGGGTAATGTCCTTAGATGGTGGAGATGGAAACTTCAAGGCCTCTTGAGGTCTAGACTTTGTAATTTGTGCAGCACCACTCATGCTACAATCTCCTGATGAAAGGAACAAGGCAAGCCAAGAGCCAAGTTGAGGAAGAGACTGTATGTCTGGGAAGTAGGGAATATGCCCTTTTAACATAGTCTCTTGGGGGGACTCATACACACCGGAGGTAAGTGTTACTTAACAAATATGTGTTCAGAGCTGTTTCTCATTGTATTTGGTACAAGTCTGTATTTGTAGCACTGAGATTTATGTACTGCATATGTAAATGTTTTTGTTTATTTCAGAGGGCTTTTTTTGTTTTGTCGCCTTTCAATCCCTAGAGCTTATCACACCATTTGTGGCTCAGTAAACGTTCAGTAAATATCTCTAAAATAAATGCAGATATTTGAATCTAGAATTTGTGGAATATACTAAGAATCATTTGGGCTTCCTATTATAGTTTCAATCTAATTAGGGAGGTAAATGTGGAAAGTTATGATTTTAAATACAGAGGGATTTCCTGAAACAATATCATGCTTAGGTAGTATAAGATGATGGAACCACTGGAGCTCAGAGTGGTAGGAGAGTTGGTGAAAAAGGAAGAATTTGAGGAGGAGCTTGAAAGGTGAGTAGACATGGGAAGGAAGAGGGTATCGTAAGTGGATAGGCCTGGTATGACCACAGCTGTGAGTTTATTACCAGCAGGTTTAGGAGTCAGTGGCTGGTGCACAAGGCTTATAAAATGGAATGGTGTAAACTAGTAGTCAAAAAACTTGGGGATGGATTGTGGAGAGCCTGGGGGAGTGATTTGATGAAACTATTTCACCACGATCTATTTGTCTGTTGTAATGGCCGTTAAAATGATTAGCTCACAACACTGCACATTAACAATATTTGGAATTCCAAAATGCTAGGGACCTCCAGCCTGTGACAGTTAAGGCAATCTCTATTTTAGAGAACATAGAAATGAACTTAGTGTAGATATGTTCTGATCACCAAATAATTCATTTAAAAATCAATAAGCCCTCCAGTTTTATTGGGATATAATTGACACATAACAAAATCAGGTACTTAGTAGCAGCAGAAACTTGGAATATTCCACACTCTACCCCTTACCCCTGTCCCAAGGCTTCAGGTCAGCCAGTGTACCTTTTCTAACACTGCCTTTTATTAACGCATTGACTGCTGTGTGCCAAGAGCTCTACAGACACCCTCTCTTATTTAATTAGCCACATTTTTCTGTAACAGTGATTTTCAACCTTTTCATCTCATGGCACACATAAACTAATTACTAAAGTTCTGCAGCACACCAAAAAAAGTAATATATTTTTTTGCCAATCTGACCAAAAAAAAAAAAAAGGTATAATTTTGATTCATTCACACCGGATGGCTATTGCTGTTTTGCCATTTTTTAAAAATTTGACAATCTAAGGGAAAAGAGGTCAGTGCCTCTGACGAAATAGTCAGCTCTTGAATGTTTTAAAAATTCTTGTGGCACACTGGTTGAAAATCTGTGCTCTATACTGTATAAGTTTGCATGCCCATTTGACTGGTGAGGAAACTGACCCTTAAAGGGGGGGATTCACCAGGTCCCATGCAAAGTAAAAAGATGTAAACCTGGGGCTAGAATGCAGGCCGCACAGGCGGTGGAGAAATTGAGCTCATCGCGACTCAAGAGTAACCCATGGCGAAGAGAAGAGGGAGGGAAAAATGGAGACTCGGCCCCTTTCTTTCAGGACTTTGCAGGTCTGCACGCCAGTGAAGGGGAACCCTCAATTGTGTGACACCCGTCAATACGTCTCCACTAGGCGCCTTTCCAAAATCACGGTATCTAATTGGCGAGATTGGAGAGGATGGACGATTCTGATTGGCTAGGTGGACCTCGAACGAGGCTTACGTCTTGAGGAACTGGCGAGGAGTAGGCGGGACTTGAAGCTGAATCCCTCGTCTCATTGGTAAAAAGAAAATGAACCAGGAACTATTCGGAAGCATGATTGGCTGTTGCCAGGATCCCTCCAACGGCCTTATGGGTCCTGGTTACGGAAGCCGGGGAAGGCTGAGAGCCGGGTCTACCTCAAGGAATTAGCCGGGAAAAGCTGGCTAGCGGTACAGAAAAGGTGTCTCAGGCCTAATGGCGACTGTGGGCGCAAGCGGCAACGATGGGAAGGGGCAAGGGCTGGAGACCCCCGTCACCTATTTCCGTTTGGAGGAAGTAGCTCAGCGTAATACCTCGAAGGAGACGTGGCTGGTGATCCACGGGCGAGTTTACGATATCACCCGATTCCTTAATGAGGTGGGGTGAAGTGGGGACCCGGAGGTGGGCAGCCCTTTGGAGCGGGAGGGTGAGGCGTGGTAGGGCCCGGAAAGGCTGCGAGGGGTGTGTGTTAGGAGGGAAATGACTTCTGTCTGAGGGCGATCAAGCCTACGAAAGGGGCCACAACTCTGAGAGGGAAACTGGGGTGGGGGTTACGGATGCCTAAATTCTGGTGCTTTTAAATAATACCCTGTATCCGCTATGTATTGGGCGCTTACTGTGTGCTAGGTTGAATACTAAGCCATTGTGATCTCCATTTTAGAGAAAGGATAACTGAGTCTCAGAGACTGAGGACTCCCAAGATCACACACTTAACATTCTAGAGTCATTCCAACCTAGTTTTGAAGGGCTCCAAACCTCTGCTCTTTCCACTCTGCCTTCGGAAGTAATTAATGCCTTTTTTTTCGTTTTCTTTATAAGAAACTGGGACTCACCCTCTCCCCCATTACGCTGCGTTTATTTTTTTTTCTAATTTGAGTTCACCTTAAGGTTAGAGGGTCATAAGTTAATCTTTCTTCTACCATTGACTTAGGTTCTGTCATCGTTTAAATCGTTAAGGTGTTATATTAGACTTCATTACATAAGTTATCTTTGAGGCCATGGTACAACTGAGTGATTTTTTTTTCAATTTAAGGAAACAGGAGAGACGTTAATTTGTTTAAACAACTTTACTGAGGTGTAATTTGCATTCAATTAAGTGTGCTCACTAAACCATACAGTTTGATGAATTTTGACAATGTATTCACTCAGGTGATCACAACCTCTTTCCGCCACTATAAAGTTCCCTCTTGTTCATTTGCAGTCGTTCTTTCCACCCCTATCCTTGAGGGTTTGATATGTTTGTATATAAATGTTTATTATATATTATATGTTGGTTTGTACTATTTTATCTTGAGTAATATTGATAGGTTAGTAACCTTGTGGTTAATTCCTTGGAAATATTTGTATATTGTAACTGAGAAAAGAATTTTCCTCCTATTCTTTCTCTGAAGCAAATACTCATACAAAAACATAAAAGATATAAAAATATTTTTTCTATTAATAAAAAATAAAAATATTTTTTCTATTAATTTGGAGTCTAGGGCAGAATTCTCTATATCCTGAATCGTAAATCTACAAAAACTTCTAAAATGTAAAGTTTCCCAAAAAAGACATTGTTTTTTAATCTTCCTAGAGGCCAATAAGTTAGCATCATAAAGTATAGTAACTTCTTGCATTTGTATAATGTATGACATTTTATGTTTTTAAAATTACTTTTCTGTTATTTCATCCTCAATATAACTAGCTGAGAGTGCCTTTTTTAACAGGGCTACAAGAAACAGGTTCAGAGAGATTTTGGTCATACAGTCGATTAGTGAGTGGAAGAGTCTGGTTTAGGTAGATTTTGTCTACATGGATTTCTTCAGATTTAGATTTCTCTTGTCTCCGTGGTAGTACTTCAGAATTCTAGCCTTAGCTGTGCCCTTTGGTGTATGCCTGCCTCTTAAATAAGTTTCAGTTGTGGGTTGCAGCATGTTAAAGCATAGTTAGTAATGGGTTGGTAAAAATGTTTTTCTTTGGTGGTTTTATTGCCCCCAGATTTCTCAGGAACATTCAGTGCTCTTAGGGGACATTAATTCAGTCTGGAGTCGTGGTTGCTAACCTGGTTTACTACATGCTGATGGAGCCAGCGACATCACAGGTGTGCCAAGGCTTCCCTTGAAACTTGAGCTGCGGATCTTTACCCACAGTTAGCCATTTGATTTACCTGTTCTGTAGTTTCTGCCCTGTTTTATTAATTCCAAGCCTATTCATTCATTCACTCTCATTCACATATTATGTGTGTGCTATGTGCCTGGTACTGTTCTAGGTGCTGCAGATGCCACGAAGATAATTAAATGCATGCTCTTATGGAGATTACAGTCTATGGGAAGTTGACAATAATTAGAGTAAAAAAGTAAAATATATGCTATGTTAGGTAGTGGTAAGTGCTAAGAAGAAAAATAAAGCAGAGAAGAGGACTGTAGGTGTGTTTGGGGTGAGGGTATGAGGATGATGTGTTGAAATTTTAGGTATGCTGGCCAGAGATAGCCTTATAAAGATGACTCGAGTAAAGGCCAGCAGAAGTTAAGGGAGCTAGCCATGTGGATATCTGCTGGAAGAGCATTTTTGGCAGAGGGAGCAAGTTCAAAGGCCTTGAAGTAGGAGTATGTGTGGTGTGCTTGAGGAATAGTGTGGAAGGTCATGGTGGCTGTATTGCAGTAGATGAGTTCATCATGATCAAGGGATAGCAGATCAAGTTGTAAAATAAACTTTGCAGGTTTTAGAAAGGATTTTGACTTTTGTTCTGAGGAGGGAAACCACAGTGGAGCTAAGGAGTGACATGAGGTGATTTAGTGGTTTAATAGTATTACCAGATTGCACTGTTGAGAAGAAACTGCAGGAGGGCAAGGGCAGGACTGAGGAGCCCAGTGTAGTGAGGAGGCTAAGCAAGATATAGTGTGGCTTGGTCCAGGGTGGTGAGAGTGTCAGGTTTTGAATGTTGTGATGGTGGAGCCAATAGGATTTAATGGTGCATTGGATTTAAGGAGTGAGAGAAAAAGAGTCAAGGATGACACCAAAGATTTTGGCCTACAGGTCTGGAAGAATAGGGTTTCTATTAGTTGGGGAAGACTTAAGGAATTAGGTTTATTTTACTACCAACTTCTTTCACATTTTAAACATAATTTGGAAGGATTGGATTTGCAATGTAGGGTAATTAGAATAGTTACCAGTTTTCTGGAACTCGGGTTAATTTTTTAAAAAATTTTTGATTGTCATACAGTATACAGTGAAAAGCCTTCCCTTCTACCTAAAGTTGATTAATATTGTTTGTATATCTTTCTGGAGTTTTGTTTTGTATATATAAGCGAAAGTGAACATAGTCCCTCCCACTGTTTAACACACAAGGTAGTATACTGTACACATTGGTCTGTGCCTTGCTTATTTACCTAACTACATTGAGAAAGGGGTGGGAGGACAGCGAGAGAGAGAAAGAGAAACTTCAATGTGAGAGAGAGACATCAAACCTTCCATATGCACCCTGACTGGGGATCAAACCCACAACCTACCTAGGTATGTGCTCTGACCAGGAATTGAACCAGCTATCTTTTAGTGTACCGGATGATGCTCCAACCAAGCTACCTGGCCAGGGCTAATATGTACAGATTTTATATGGAGAGTTCATTAAGTTTTGACAAAAGTCTCACCTGTATAATCATTATCCCAATTAATACATAGAACATTTCTATGGCCTTTGCCCTCATACAACCATTGATTTGATTTCTTACACTAGAAAACTACATACACTCTTTTGTGTCTGGCGTCTTTTACTTAATAGATCTGTTTTACATATGGTTTTTCTATGTATCAGCAATTTGTTCCTGATTTTGCTTTTTATTTCATTGTATAATATTCTAAAATTTATTTATCTATTAACCTATTGATTAACATTTGAGTTGTTTTCATTATTTTGGCTATTATGAATAAAGCTGCTCTGAACTTCCATGTGCAAATTTTTGTTTGGATATATGTTTTCATTCCTCTTATGTAAATATCTAGGTATGAGATTGCTGGGTCATTTTTTTTTAACTTTTTAAGCAACAGCTAGACCTTTCCCCAAAATGTCTACATTATTTACACTCCCACCAGTAATATACGAGTTTTCTAGTTTCTCCACATCATTATCATTGACACATGGTATTTTTCATTTTACTTTTAGCCATTCTGGTGTTCCTAGTGGGTGTGTACTGGCATATAATTAGGGTTTTAACTTGCATTTTGCTGATGACTAATAATGTTAAGTATCTTCACGTGCTGATTGGCCATTTGTGTGTCTTTGTGAGGTGTCTATTCAGTCTTGCCCATTTTTTCATTGGGTTGTTTGTTTTTTTATTGACTTCAAAGTGTTCTTTGTATATTCTAGATGCAAGTCCTTTCAGATATATGTATTGTAAATATATTCTCCCAATCTGTATTTTGCCTTTTCACTTTCTGAACAGTATCTTTTGAAGAGAATTTTGGTGAATTGTATATATGAAATAAAATTCTAGGCCTGGCCAAGGAGCTCAGTTAATTTGAGCATTGTCCCTATACATCATGGTTGCAGGTTCAAGCCCTGGTCAGGGCACATGCAGGGGGCAGCCAATGGATTCAGGGATAAGTGGAACAACAAATTGATGTTTCTCTCTCTCCCGCCCTCCCTTTCATCTCTCTCTCTCTCTGTAAAAAAAAAAAAAAAAATTAAAAAGGAGTTCTAAAGCCTGGGTGCTAGCTTTGGGTTTTATGTCTGGTTCAGTTCCTACTTTACCACTTTAATAGTTCTGTAAACTTGGCAAATAAGCTCTGTAAAGGCCCCACCCATCTATAAGATGGAGATAATAGTACCCACTTCACAGGGTTGTTGGGAGAGCTAATTTAATTAATGCATATAAAAACTTATCTTGGTTCCTGGTATAAAGAGCTCCGTATCCCTGGCTGGGTATATCAGTTGGTTGGAGTGTTGTCCCCATATACCAGGGTTGCGGGTTCGATCCCTAGTCAGAGCACATACAACAATCAACCAATGAGTGCATCAATAAGTGGAACCAACAGATCAACAAATTGATGTTTTTCTGTCTCCTTTCCCTTCTCTCTCTCTTTAAAATCAATAAATTAAAAAAAAAACTCCTTAAATACAAAGAGCTTAGTAAAAGTTAGTGGTTGTTTTTATTATTAATAAAATCTATTTCCCTGCAACATCTTTTGAGTGCTTACTAAGTAGTAGATGCTGTGAAGATTTAAAGGTGAATTAGCTGCCTTGGATATGCAGGGAGGGTGAGATCTGTGCACAAGTAATTGTCATGCAAGGTAGAGGGTGGACTTGTTTCCGGAAAGACTGGGAATGCGGGCTGTTTGGTGTAGCCCTAGAATAACCCTGAAAGTGTCAGAGCTTGACTAGTAACAATTCTTACTGAATTTCA